GATCGCAGCCAGGCTCACCGTCTGTACCTACTGTCAGTGTTTTTTTTTTCCTTCTTCAGGGACATTCCCCATCTGACTTTATTCAGTTTTAATGTGATACAAAATAAATGAGTGTGCATATAATAATTGTTTACATGGTGTTGATAAAATTATTTACATTTGAATAGGACGGGAATTATCGGTGGATATCTCTATCGCCCTTTACTGTCAGTGTTACCATTGTGATATCAATATATGGACCGCGTTAAACAAAAAGAATGGAACCAAGCCACATCAGCGATTGCCAAATTTAATTGGGCAATTTAATTTTTTTCGTGAAAACGGTTGTGCGGATTGTCGTGCAAATTTCAGTGAAAATTATCCATGGTACGAAGCAAATTTCTTAAAATTTTCAAAGAAATCCGAACAAACGTTCTCTCATAAAAAATTTAATTGCCCAGTTAAACTTGGCAATAGCTGATGTGGCTTGGTTCCTTTCTGTTAAACTCGGTCTATATAGGATGCCCCAAGTTCAATAATCTAGACTACCGTGGCGTACTCTCAGTGAAAATGAAGCTTTTTTCTTTTAACTGGTTTCCTCTAAAATGGAGATGTAGAAGGTGTCTGAAATTTTGTTTTTGGCAGAAATTTTATTTCATCCTAATTAAGGGTCTCCATGGTCTCGGTATCCATAATTTCTTTATAAAGGCACTCCACTCCCCATAGTGCAAGTAACTAATGGAAAAATTGCTTTCGATGTGACAACACTTCAAAACGGTCTTAAGTCTGGCAATATCTCGACGAACTTAAAATTCTTCCGTGCGCATTCTGGATTCCGGAATTCCGCGACCCACGGAGTTCCATTTAATTGTCAAATAATGGCCACCATCTTAACTGCAACGTTGAGACGACAATGTGGGATGCCCCGCAGATTCCAGCACTGCCACGCTTAGGAAGAACGCCGTATGAGCCTTCAGATGTTGCCAAATTCCGCATGACTAATCACGAATTTTCGGGAAAATTTGTAAAAAGATTTCATGCGATTTCTCGGAGAAATTTGTTCGTACTTTGATCTACAAAGTCTGAAAATTTCAAGGGGAAATATTCATAAGTTTCTTCAAAGATAAATATTTTCTGAGAGGAGATTTGGCAGCACGCGAATGCTCATACGGTGTTTTTTCTTAGCGCGGCAGGACACCAGTGGTCTGCTGCGATCGCCGCCGCGCCGCTGCAGTAGCAGAGCCGGGAAATCGTCAGGCCTCGCATTATTTACCTCTAAGATTCGTCTAGTGGTCAGACAGCCTAAGGTCCGCAGCTCTGCGGCAAGCTAGATTGCCATTTTTTCATAATTTGTAGCAAGGTAAAAGAGAGCTCCTCTACTTGCACCTTGCAAGTTCCACCGTTTCAAGTCAGTCAGCAGTAAAAGCAGGATTTCCAGCTGACGATGTAGTGCCCGTCCCAATCATAAACTGAGATGGAGTTCATAAAGTGGCACTACTTCTTTAGTTTCGCAGCCATTTCTGCACCGAATTCCTTGGAAAATTACAAGATATCATCTTCGGCAGGAAGTCTACGACGACGCCGCAAACCGAGTCACACATTTCTGCAGTTTCACCATTGAATTGTAGTTCCTAATTGCAAAGTGCAGTCCAATTCATAAGGAAATGTTTGATTCCCTGGAAGTAGAAGTTCTTTGAGAAGAGTCTCCCTGTTTCTGCTTTCTAGTCATAATCCTCCTCCAGTGATTCAATAGTTTGCATCTGCAATCAAAGGTTTTTATTCATTGAGATAAATAGAATGATGCTCAGGTTGTGCGAGCGTGTATTGACAAACACAAAACGAGTACCATGGGTTTGAGTACTTGTCACGGGCAGAAATGAATGTTTAAGTGGGGTATGACCCACGCTTTGGCGTCTGGATAGTTAAATTGCCGCACTGCCACGCTAAGGAAGAACGTCGTATGTACATTCGAATGTTGCCACATTTCCTCTCATAAATCAGCTATTTTTGAGAAAAGCCATGAATATTTTTCCTTGAAATTTTCAGATACTTTCGATTATTTACGCACAAAATTCTTTAAAAATTTTGGAGAAAAATGTGCACGAGTTTTTTTCAGGAAATTTGTGGTTTGTCTAGGGAAATTTGGCGACGTCTGAAGGCTCATAGGGCGCTTTTCCTCAGCGCGGCAGCGCAGTGGTCGGTGTCAGAGGCCTCAAAGCGCGATGCATGGCCCACGTCCAAAATTCGATGCGTTCCGGAGCTGCGTGTCACGCATGGTGGCGATGATAACACCATGTCATATTGTCACACATGCCGAGGGAATGCCTAATGCATCGATTCGTATCAATCATCGCTGTTAAGTAGTTTATAACAGGCATCGCCATGTCGATTTTAAGCTAAGAATGTTAAAACGGATGAATACATAGAGCATCGTTCACTTTATTTCTACCTTATGGGTAAACTGCATGAGGAAAGTTAATCGTGCGGGAAGTTTGGTGTTTACTCCCAAATTTTTTATAGAAATCGATCGCGCAATTTTAACACTCTAAAAAGCAAGTTTTGCCTTAAGCATCCATTAAATTGTTGACTTCCTTATTCTTCAACCGCAATGTATTTCCTCAGTTCAGTTTTTCTTCTAGAACCAGAGCTGGATTTACTACGAAGGCACAAAGTTCGCGCGCTCGAATTTTCGTAAGCTTGTAAAAAAGTTTCTAATGCTTAGTTGCCGCTGATGCAGGTTTACTGCGGCGTATAGACACCGTTCGAAGTTCCAGACATGCCAGATTTCTTCGGATGACATTTTTTTTAGAAAAGTTTGGGAAATATTTCCTTGACATTTTCAGAATTATTACATTGAATTGCGCATAAACTCTAAAAACTGAAAAAATAGGACCGAACAAGTTTTTCAGGGAATTCGTATTTAATCGGAGGAATTTGGAAACGTTCGAGTGTTCGCACGACGTTTTTGATCAACTCTTCAGAATTGATAATCGAGCATAGAACGATGATATCGATAGGTGATGCAACTATTCGAGCTCTAGTGACATCCGTGTTGCGTACTAAAAATTGAAGGCGCCTCGCTCATTCTAGCCCATGAAGCATGCGACACGCTGTCACGACTCTCTGCATGCGGCGCCGGCGGTGGAATATAAAATCCTCGTACGTAAAATGGTGGAAAAATATCCTCTCCTGTCCCTTTGCCTTTATCGGAGAATTTCATCTTGCCACAAATTGGACACGGCGCGATCCACGCCGCTGCGCTACGCACACTGCTTCAAGAATAAGGATGGCCAGCGCGCCTTCAATTTTTTCGCATGCAGTCGCATGCGTCCACAGAGTACGAATAGTTGTATCACAGCGTTATTATCAACAACATTGAATGCGTTGCTTTTGTTGACCGATACATTGGCAGAGGCCCGCCCTGGCTGATTCTACCCTAACTGAGTGTCGTTATAAAGGTAAAATGTACCCATTAAAAAATACTAATATTTTGAAATTCTTCGGTTAAAAACAACTTTCATCGATCTCTTTTGTACTTTAAGGGGCACAATTTCGTCAGTTGCTGTTACTCGAGAATTATGAGTATTTTTCACACCACGATGTAGCTATACAGAATTGCAAAGTTTATACAGCATGTTCCAGACCACCATGCTAGGCTTTTGGCTCTACTTATCAATGGAGTTTTCAGCATCGCTTAACAGTGACGTCTGGAGCATTAAATAGCTACGATGCGTGTTAGACGTCGTTTTTGATCGTCGCGTATGATTTGCACTGCAATGGAGTGCAATGATCAGCAACTTTTGTCTCGAGCTTTTTCCGCACCTCCTGCAGAGCGCACAGACAGAGAAAGAACTTAAGCTCGCGAAATCATAGATGCCAAACCAACTTTTTAATCGTAGTGATTTTTTTTTAAAACATAATGCCAAAGTGTTATGAACTACGTTTATAACTACAAGTACATCAAGTGATAACAAAATACAAAGACAAAAAAAAGAGCTCGTGTTTTCACAAACATATTCCTACAATTATTACTGGTGCTACGGTGATTTTCATCACCATGTTCAAATAACGTTTTAATTGTTCGTTTAGAGCAACACTGGAAAAAATACACATTGGATCTAGAGTTCAGACTCTTAAAAACATCGAAAAGAAAAAGTACTCTAGATTCAATCAGAATCTAGCTTAAATCAAGAACCAAGCCTCTTAATTTAAGCGGATTTTAAGCAAAAATCCGATTGAATCAAGAGTATTTTTTCTTGTCAATGTTTTCAAGAGTCTGGACTCTAGATCCAATGTGTTTTTTTTTCCAGTGAATAATATAATGTTTATCTTTTCATAAGGCCGACCGCCAACTGCAATGCTCGGATATATTTACTTACCATAATACTTGACATAAACATGGCTACTTACAACAACGTACTTATGCATGATCTATTTTCACATCAATTTTCTATGCTTGATCTATTTTCCCATTTCTAAAATTACACCATTGAAATTTCGGAGTCGAAAGAGTATACATAAATTAGCTGAAGTATTATAGTGAAGTATTGTAATTATGAAAAAAGTTCCGGCAACGGCGCGTGTAAGGTGAGGTTAAATTTGCCTATAAGACGAGCCTTTGTTTTTAAAGCAATACGACTTGCGTAGGCGTTTAATTGCTTTTGCACAGCTCGCAGCAAATGCAGTGACGCATCGGCATAATTGATATCCGACTGAAACCATGCCATGAAAAGGTGAAGGTGTTCAACTTGGTGTATAACATGATATCAATCATATGTATGCCTTTGAGTGGAGTCAGATTGCGACATAAGAGACATAGTATGATATCGCCTTTCCGCATAAGCTATACTAAAACCTCCAAGCAGTAGTTCCGCATGATTAGGGTGTATTCGTGAAATTCAACCGTAGAGGTTACTGTCTCCGAGTTTTGAAACAAAGCTAAGTATTTTTGAAATTTTTGTTGTGCAACCCATTTAAGTTTGATTTTCTGATTTACGTGATCATTTTTCTTTTTGTTTCAGCGGTTTGAGCAGTCGGAACCAAGTCAGCAACAAAGAACGAGTCAGCAGCTATCACCGATGTCGAAGAAGAAATGGGAGCTGCTGGGCTCGTCCAAAAAAGTTGACGAACTGTTCCAAGCCTCTCGCAAGAATGGTGGCGTCAGAAAGGTCGGAATCCCAGGTACTCATCTCATGAATTCTTCTTTAGTGAGTGCACCATAATGCACATTCGCTGAAACTCGGCTTCAGCTAGACGCCCCCTACGACGCCTATCTGGAGGAACCCGGTCCAAAAACTTTTTCGGGAACCTGGTATTGGTCATCCTTTTGCACGTGCCCACTGCCCATACCATACCAACCGGTTGATCATGGTATCTTACACGATTTTTCTTTTAACGCCCATGATCTCCCGGATCTGTTCATTTCTAATACGCTCTTCCTTCGAAATTCCAGCCGATCCTTGCTCTAAATCCATCTCCGTCGCCTTGAGCATTTCTTAGGTTCGTTTCTTCAATGGGCCTGTTGAAAACTTCAGCTAGGGCAAAAAGAAGAGTTGTTATTCTTATAAAAAATGGCTCAAAAATCACGATGAGCGCATCAAGAAAAATCTGAAATACACTCCTAACCACACATTCTGCGTAAACATGCGTTTTTTATGCTTCCCGCTTCAAAAACGATACTTCGGCAGGGGTGAACATTTTGTAAGAGGAGTCCATCCAACCCTTGCGCACCACAGGATGCTATTCAACATGGCTGTCGTATTTGCGCCGAATCGTGAAGAAGCACACTTGTCATTATCAACGCCAGGAAAAAGTAAATATAAACCAGTCGGTTAATAAAATTGCATCTTGTTACGTTGTGGGTTGGCGTCGACTACATTGCATAATGCGTAGCATCCTGGTGCGCAGGGGTTAGATGGAAGGACTCCTCTTATATATGAAATGTTTTTGAAGCGAGAAGCTTAAATACACGCATATTTACACAGATTTTGTAGACAGGGGTGTACTTTAGACTTTTCCGATGCACTCATCGTGATTTTTGAGTCATTTTCTACGAGAATTAACTTTTAGCGGCTCTGGTGCTTGCACTAGAGCTGCTATTCCGGACGGTCCCAGCTGGGGAGTATCAACGGACCATGTTACATTGGAGAGACCGCGTGTTGATTGATGGGAATCGGCGCCATTTTCTGCTGTTTAGGGGGGACTGATTTTATTTTAATTGATATCTTTTTCCTGTGAGCGAATGCTATGTTGTGTAGTGTATTTTTGGAATCATGGTGATACTGTCAATAATTCAAAACGGGTCTGTGCTTTAATCTCGCACTGGGAAAAATGTACTTTACGTTTAAAATTTGAAAATTCAAATCTATAAGTTTTCGCACTTTTTTCGAAGAATGCCGTGGTTGGAGCTTTCTAGTCATACTACTCGACATCAGCTGATAGCAAACAAAGGTTACCAAGGAAACCGTAAACGCGTAACAACTACCTACCGTCGCCAGAGCCGCTTTCCGACGCGAATGCGTTGGAGCTTCCTGCTTGTTTACTTTGCTGTGGCTGAAGTTTGAAACAGGTCCAATGTCACGCCTGGATATGAGCATGCTCCTGTAAATTTGGCAATGAGAAATATCTGCAGTTTGCAGAGTCGATTTCCCGAGTCCATGAATGGGAAGAAATAGGGTTCTAAGGTGACGTCAGTTGGAGGCGTCGATGAAAGGCAAGAAAGGCTCGGAGGCCGTTTGGGTGTAACCTGTGTCAAGTACACGCTGCATGAAGCGTATAATTTGGCCTACTCGGGCTCATCGCGGCACTTAGGGCACTCTTTACACTTCGCAGCATTCACAAGCGATGTGTTATGACCCCCGATTCGCGGTACCGGATAATTTGTTGACGCATCCTCATCCACCTCTCCGGCTCAACGACCGTTGTTGCCACCCTTTAACCCTAGTCTCCTCCAACTTTCCCCAACTGTACATCCTGATTTTTTAATCACTTCGATCAAAAAAAAAAGCGGGAATGCTCTAACACGTTCATAACATAGAGTCCCCATCTGTATTTTATGTAGGCGCGTTTTTAAGTTCCTCGAAGATGATGAGCACCGTTGAGGTGAAAGAACTTGCTCACTAAAATTTCAACTATATGTATCAACGAAACTATACGATTTGCACTGACTGCAAAGAAATTATTGAATAATGGGACTACATTTTGCATTTAGGAAGTACAATTTCTGGCTCAATTTAGAAACAACGTATGAACCATTAAATTCCCTTTGAACAAAAGTGATTTTACGGATGAGTTAGGAATTTTTGGTCATGATTATTGCAAAATAAAGTCCAATTTCAATTAACTGGAGATCGAATTGCATACGCGACGAGATCGAGGAACTTTGTTGAATTCGAAGTCCCGATGTTTCCACGCCATTTCCTCCCTCATCATAAAATCACCTTACTTACATGCTTAAGAGTCGCTTTCATAGCAATTCCTACAGTTCTGCAACGCTTAATCGCCACAATGCCCTATCCTCCCACAGCTCCTCAGGGAGTTGGCACTCCCTCATTTCACTGAAAACCCCCTGCCGCCACCCTTTCACCGGTCATCCCCTTCGTTTCCAGCCAGGGGAAGCCATTCAAGCATCTTCTATGACAGCCTCTCCTCCGTCATCATTTTACATGATCACCTCGATATCATCAGTTTTCTCTGATTTTACTAAACACAATCACTGAAAAAAAAATCTCGGTGTATTTACTAAGAAAAGGGTAAAATTACCAAGAATTCAGGGTTCTATTTGATCCCAGTTTTTTCATGGTAAAATTACCATTTATGGAATTGGTAATTTTACCGAGAAATCTCGGTAAAATTATTGAACTTTCTCGGTAATTTTACTGGACCTTGGTAAAAATGCCAATATTTTTTATCGACTATGGTAGAATTACCGAGATAAAACGGCAAAGTTACTGGGAATTGATTACCAATAAAAGTGGTATTCTTACCTGAAAGAAAAACAGTAACAATACCGGTTTTTAGGTAAGTTTACCACTTTGTCTCGGTAAAATTACCAATAATTGGTAAAAAAAAGTGACATGGTAAAGGCACCAACGGACCTTGGTAAAAACGCCGAGAATTTTTTTTCAGTAAAAAAACACCCCCTGCTCCCGCAATAGATCTCAGATATTGGCCCGTGGGTAAAATTGACAATATGGCTAAGAGCTTTTATGGTAAGAGGCGAGAGGGGGGGGGGGGGGTACCACGCGCACCAGTCCCCTCGCCTTTTCCATCTCCAGAACTCCCAGATCCCCCTTCCGCCAGGACATGAGTGTATTAGCACCCGCCCTCCGCTCTGTAGCAGCTGAAAATTGCAGGCCGGCTGAATGGATCCCCGAGAAATAACTATGGTTTGACGTATCGTTTACTTATTCCCGTGCATTTGCAGCACCCAACCCATAATCAGCTTCAGGATATGAATGACTCAATCCATTTTACCAGTGCGAGGATGCTTACAGCTCAGTCAGGGTCAATGGCATTGCAGTTGATAACAAGTTGAACTTCATTCATTCATTTATCACGTTCTTGTTAGATCTGATTATGCGTCCCTTTGGTTGTATTAATTATGACTCTAGAATCTTCCCTCGCACCAAAGAAATTTTGGTAAAAAATTGGAGAGGATTTTGAGAGAGTATTTTGAGCGGATATTTCCAGCTCGAACCTTTAAAACAAGCCTATCCGTTTTTCTTGTGTTTTTAGTTAAATTATTCGGTCTATTTTCTTTTCTTATTTTTGTTGAGGATTCACTAAATGTCTGAATGTCTGAATACGGAAAAACTATCGATCACGTCTTGATTCTGCTAGAGAAATTGTAACAATGCAAAGCAAAAATTAATATTCATCAGCTCAAAATAAATCGCTTCTACCCTGAACTTTCATCCCTTGTTCCTTCTGACTCCTTCTGTTTATCCGCGGTATTCGATTATCCTCGATTGCCAATTATCCACGATCTCTCCGGTTCAAATCATCGAGACTTTATTGTAGTTCGAAAATACAAATTTCAGCCTCCGATTGATCTGGAGGGCCTGAGAAACAGCAGGACGTTCCTTCTAAAATCATTAGCGGGCTGATTGTTAAAAATAATAGACTAAGCTATAGACAAAGTAGACAAAAGGGGTATGGATGAATTCTATTGGTTGAAGTGGGTGGTTGCAATGGACCAAGGGGGTTGTTAATAGACTAACTAACGGAAACCCACGAGAAACCCTATATTTAGTCCAATATTTCCAGGCTCGGACTGGCCAGAGCCGCTAGGCCGCGACTGCGCGCGGCCGGGGCCCTCGTCCTCGGGGGCCCCGATATAATATTCGACCTAAAACGTAATTTTGAGAGCACGTAAGTTTTATTTTACGTCAAACAATTTCACTGAAATAACACGTAACAGTGGAGGCACCCGACTCGAGGGCCCCAGTCGTCGAAAACCAATTAACCCTTAGATTACAGAGTCTTAAAATTAATAAAAACAATTATGGGGCCCTATTCCCCGGGGCCCCCGAGAAAGAGGGCCCCACAATTTTTTTTTTTTAATTCTCTTTCTTTGCCGTCGTCCTCGGGGCCCCAGAATTGTTTTTATTAATTTTAAGACTCTGTAATCTAAGAGTTAATTAGTTTTCGACGACTGGGGCCCCCAAGTTGGGCGTCTCCACTGTTACGAGTTAATTAAGTGAAATTTTTTGACGTAAAATAAAACTTACGTGCTCTCAAAATTACGTTTTAGGTCGAGTATTGTATCAATCCAAACCTCTAATAGTTGACAATTTTACAAGCGTCCGGGAGGATAAAATTGCATTCTCGGGATTTAAAGGATCCAAAAATTTTCCGGGGGGCGGCCGCCCCCCGGACCTCCTCTCCTTGCTGGGGGGTCTCCCCTCCCCCCCCCTGGGGGCCGTCACGATACGTCGCCGCGGCCTAACTTTTTTCACGCCAGTCCGAGCCTGTTCAAAAATTCGTATTCGGCATGGTCTCGCATGATCTCCTTCGACGGTACACTGTGGGTCTGGGCTTTTGATTATGATGCATGTTAACATACTACAAATTCATGTTTTATACGAAGGTAAATAAATAAATACAACTTAAATACGCCCTATCTTGAGTCGGAGGCCAGAATCTGCTCAGGTGTCGGAGGGTTAATCTACAAAATTGAA